TAAATTATTTTCCATACTAATGAATTTAGGTAAGATTGTCTTGCAAGTTTGTTGTTCTGACAAAATTATCCAGCCAATATCCAGTACATTTATTCTTCACTCTTGTATTAATCTCTAAAGAAAAATATTTATGTTAGAAAGCAAAATGACAATGTAATGAGGTTTGGGAGGGTGAGGATTCTTTTATTTGAAAGTGTTTATAAAAATTTTGTTTAATTAACTCTAATGTGTAAAACCAAAATGTATAACAGTATAAGTATTTTAACTGATAACATCTTCAACCTTTGCTCTAACACTACATTTGATGACAGCTTTATAGTTGGACTGTTGTTTTGAACAGAGTTATGGAGTCAATATACAGAAATACAGGACCAGGATTTAATTCAATATCTCCTGAGAATGTTTTCATTGTTTGAAATATTACAGAAGTCACAGAAGGATTGTTTTTAATACTGTATAAATCTTTTTGTGAACTATGTTGATAAATGGCTTAAAATATCCTCGAAAATATCCAATATTTTATGCAGTGTAATATATTAATAAAAAAATTCCAGAGTGCATTCCATGTCTTCCATGTACACACTACGCCGAAGATACGGCAATATTAACTATAGATAGTATAGTAAATATTTGCCGAACTGGCGATCTCGTGTATTATAAAATATGTGGGACATATATTTGCACAAATTTGGTATTTAAATATATAATATGTGGTATTTGACTACTTACCAGATGAGGATAAGATTCCATGTTGATAAATAACTTCGGAATAAAAAAAGACAGCCAATTCAAGATAAATTGATAAAAATATCAAGATATTTTTGAAAGAATATAAAACACGGTTTATACACGAGGCCTGACGAGGCTAAAGTATGCCCGTTCGCAGGTTAGATCAGCGGGCACGATGTAAACAATTGATGTAAACGAATCGCTGATTGGCTTAAATTGGCATAAATTGGCTGAATTATATAAGCCCGTCGCTGAATGGCTAGGGATACGGTACGGTACGGTCACGGCACGTTTGCGATAGCATATATATCTGCTTCGCAGATACAAAAAGTATTTTAATTAATACGTTTCGCAGTTTAGGCTACGCTTCAAATTTTGTATTTGCATATTTCGTATATGCGATAACAAATCTCGACAGTATTTTAAAACTTTTTGGCGTGTGCTCCTTAAGGGCAGCATTTACTACATTTTAGGTAACCTAGTATATTCAAGTATCACATGTGTGATCACTGCAAGATGTTTCGAATTCGGCTGATTACAACAACATCAACATTGCTTAAACATTATTACCAACTCAGTCTCGCCCGACAGGGATGGCGACCTTGTTTCGGTGATATCGACTGCTACCTTCAATTGGACCCAACAGGAATGTATGTAGGTGCGCTGAATGATAAACCTATTGCAACATACTCAGCCATAAAATATGCAGATGGATACCGTCATCTTGGCTCTTATATTGTGAAAGAGGAGTATCAAAAGCTTGGATATGGACTGAATTTAGAGGAAGCCTGCCTAGCCAACTCTGCTCCTATTAAAAATATGTCGCTATATACGACTCCAGAGATGGTCAGAAAGGCGGAAAAAAGGCATGCAATGATTTCTCGCTGGCCTGTGGGAATATACGATCTTAACATTTCGAAAGCTCTGGATAAACTCCGCGAATATAATTCAGATAGCTGTGAAGTGAAGCATATTAACGAAATCAATATGCAAGATGTTTGCGACTACGATACAGATGTGTTTGGATACAACCGGATCAAGTTTTTAGAAAAATGGCTGAATACACCAGGCGCTCACGTACGCGTCGCAGTTAACAAAGAAGGATCGATCGTCGGCTATGTAGCTGTGAGATTGGCATTCTTTCAAGACGAAGGCTATAAACTTGGTCCCTTATTCTGTGAAAATATCGAAGTTGGAAAAGCGCTTCTTAAAGGAGTGTTCGAAGACGTTCGTGAATGTGGTTTATCAACGTCACACTCTGCAATTCTCGACAGTCCAATCGGCAAAAATCTCGATGCAAAAGAACTCATGCAACTGGTAGATGGAAAGTGTCTTGGTCATATTGAATTTATGACGACTAATGGTCTTCCTAAAGGACGTTTTAACCAATGGTTTGCTATTACTTCGCCTGTCTGTGGTTGATTTAAGCCGGTTTTCCATTAGCGAATTTTTTCGCGCGAAGCGACCTTTTTCCTTTGTCGGCATCCATTTTGCCACGTCTTGCCGACGTAAAAACTGGCTTTAAGGCCTGATTCCACGAGGCGGAATTTTTCGACCGAAACGAAATTTCTCTTTGTCTTTTTACAATTAGTTCTGCTCGAGAGCTCATGAAACAAAGAGAAATTTCGATTCGGTCAAAAAATTTCGCCTAGTGGAAAACCGCCTTAACACTTCTGTGTTTTTCGTCGTCGATAAATCCAGTTTGCGTCATTGAACTATAGGTGGTTTGCGTTTGCGCATTGCAGGCTCAGTTTCCACTGTTTCCAGTGCACTTCTTGTTCCTAGCTTGTTGACAACTTGCTACAAGGTTGTTGAGCTCAACAGACTTGTTGCAAGTTGTTCCGATAATTTGTTATCGTCCTGCAATTTAACAATTTGTTTTAAAACAAGTTGTGAGTAACAACCTTGCAGCAACTTGATAAACGTACTAACTACAAGCCTGTTGCGAACGCATTGATTTTTGTTGACAAGTTGTGAGATTTTGCATGTGT